ATTTATTTTTGAGACAGAGACAGAGCGTGAGCAGGGGAGGGGCAGAGAGAGAGGGAGACACAGAATCCGAAGCAGGCTCCAGGCTCTGAGCCGTCAGCACAGAGCCCGACGCGGGGCTCGAACTCACGAACCGCGAGATCATGACCTGAGCCGAAGTCGGACGCTTAACCGACCGAGCCACCAAGCTGCCCCTACAAAATTATTCAAAATTATTCTGTATTAAACTCTCTCAATGCAAATTTACATCATACAGCAAATTCCCATTTCTTCAAAAGCTCACCCATCCCTGGGACTTGGTTGTTTTAAGCAGTGCTGGAATGGCTCTGGTCCTGGCAGTGAACAAAATGCTGTGACCTAATCAATAATGTGGTTGAAGCAAAGACGCCCTTGCCTAGCTGTCCAGGGTGTTAGGTCAAACTTCTGGTCTGTGCCAGCAGGGACTCCGAAGATATCCAGCCCACGTACTTAGAGAAGCCATGAAAGAAAGACACTGGTAGAAATAGCGTGTGAAAGGGTGGGCTTGTGACGCAGATACGGGGCTGGTGGCTTCGGAGGGGACGGGGGCAGAAGTTCACAGGATGGGATTCTGTCGAGCCTCTTTCAGAGCAGGGTCTGGAGCACTGAAACAGCCTCTTCTCTAAGATCCTTCTGCACATGGGGGATATGGGAGGTTGAAGCTTATGCCTGTGTCCCACGGGGAGTGGCAACCCATACTCATGTGGCTCTTCCTGGCTCTCAGATGGTGGCAGGGCCTCCAGCTGTGTTTGGGGCCGAGGAGCAGCTCTCCTGCTGTCTGCCTAGCAAATCCTCCCCGGTGTGCAGAGAAGCCTCCTGACCTCACCGCCAGGATGGCTCTTCCAGATCGGGCTTGCCCACACCCACTAACCGGTCTCTCGGAATGAGCGTGACCGTATTTCACAGCCATTATGGGGTGGGAGCCTTCCGTCCCGTGCCGTATCGAAATTGGGAAAAGCTCAGTGCGGGCTCCCCTACGAACTTTGATCATCTTTTCTTTTTTCTTGCAGAAACATCCCTTTATTTTGATGTATGAAGAACGTACCGTAGAGGTCGCATGCTACGTTTGTAAAATCCTGGATCAAATGCCAGCCACTCCCAGCTCCCCCATGTACGTCGACTGATCTCGCCGCTGCGTCAGACTCTAGGAAAAAGGGCTGAGAGGAGGCAAGACGTAAAGAATTTTCATCCCGCATCGCAGTGTTTTTATTGCTTGCCCAGACACCACGTGCAGTGAGATTGGTGTTCGTTTCCATCTTGTGTGTATGCTCCTGTCACCTAGACATGCATCCCCGTGATACCCGATCGATCACACAGTGTTCGTGCTGGTCAGAGAGACCTCACCCCGCTCTTTTGTGACGGACGTGTCCGTGACATGTGGAAGTCAGTACGATCAATTTATTGACTGTGATCAGATCACATCTTAACTTCATTTCTAGACTCAAAACCTGGAGACGCAGCCACTGGAATGGTGTTTTGTCAGACTTCCAGAAACTGGGAGCGCACGGTGATGGATGTACGACGTCTGAACACAGAGACTCGGGCTTGAGCGAGAAGGGTTTGCACAGCCAACGAGACGCATTGCCTTCTGGAGCTGGGAGACAAAGGAGGAATTTTAATTTTCTCTCTTCACCAAGTGCAATAGATTTACTGATTTGATACTCTGTTGCTTCACCGTCACGGTCGATGTTCGGGGATCGATGTGCTCAGCCAAATTTCCTGTTTGAAATACCACGTTAAATTAGAACGAGTTTCTCTTTACCAAAAACCGTGTTGCTTTCAAAGAGGTGAACCCTGAAATACGGAGACAGGACAGAACGTGTTCTTTTCTCCTTGACTAGTCCTTCTCTTCATCGGGAAGACTCAGGAGTCTGCCACTTGTCACAGAAGGTGCTGCCCCTAAGAATTTTCTTTCTCAAAGTTCGGTGTCCTGCCAACTTGATGTTCCGTCTGCCACAAACCACCAGGACTGAAAGAAGAAAAACGTGCTGAGGGCCAAGTTTACGGGTGTTTCCAATTCTAGCATCCGATCTGGAACAACTTACAGCACCCTTTATTTCCCCTGGGTCCCAAGCCTGATACTTTAGCCATCATAACTCACTCACAGGGAGAAGTAGCTATAGAAGCGATGTGCCTTGACTGATGACGTAGAGATTGCTTATAGGCAGCACGAGACCAAACCTCAGTCGTCTGCCCGCACTGGCCCACATCTTCGGTTTCTGGATCCCTCCCCCTGCCCATGTGGTCTGTTGCCGCTAACTGACTTTTGCTCAGTCCAATATTTTGCCTTTTACCCCCCACCCCTCCATATCAAAACCATTTTTAATCATCCGGGATATTTAGCCCCAAATCCCTCCTGCACTCTAACGTGTAAAAGGCTGAGGAGCGTGGGGCCCCACTGATGTGGTAGGTGATGAGGAAGCATCTTCTAGAGACACATTTGACCAGATGAGGGTCTGAAATGGCAGTCTTTAGAGAAGCTCGTCACCCATGAGAGTCTCTGGCACAGGTCACTGTCGTTTCTTGGAATTGGAATTCTACAAAAAAAAAAAAAAAAAAAAAAAAAAAAGACAACAACAACAACCAAAAACCCACAAAACCCCAAAGCCCAAAACCACCCCTAGAATCTGCTCTCTTTTGCTATGCTGCCTCACTTACCCCTTAGCCGGGTCTTCCCTAGGTTTTGCTCAGGCCTCCCCGGCACCGAGCGTTGGGTTCCGTGTAACAGTTAAGCAGCCCTTGGGAGTGGCTCAGGCACACTGGGTAGGAAACGGCCGTGGGCCGAGAGGCACACAGTGCCATCCAGGAACCAGGCGGTGGCAGGTGTCGACGTGTCTCCTCCCAGGGTGGCCGTCGCAAACGGTATAGAACGATAGAGGGGAGACGGTGCTGTTTAAGGTTACGTCCCTGTCCATTTTCAGAATTCAGAAATGATTTCTCACTTTGGTCCGCCTGCCCAGTCTCCTTGTTTTTCTCCCCCCTCCCTGGCTCCCCAAACCTTAGACTTCCCAGTGTTCTGAACGGAGGCGTCGTTGCACGTCTTCCTTCGACCGCACCAAGCCATCATCCTCCGTTGCCCCCGGCGACTCAAGAGGAATCTGTTTCTCTGCTGTCAACTTCCCGTCTGGCTCAGCGTAGGGTCACTTTGCCATTAGACACATGGAGATCAAAGCAATTCTGACTGTCCAGGAGCTAATCTGACCGTTCTGTTGTGTGGACAACCACATAAAAAGGCAATTTTAGTGTATTAATCATAGATTATTATAAACTATAAACTTAAGGGCAAGGAGTTTATTACAATGTATCTTTATTAAAACAAAAGGGTGTATAGTGTTCACAAACTGTGAAAATAGTGTAAGGACTGTACATTGTGAGCTCTGGTTATTTTTCTCTTGTACCATAGAAAAAAAATGTATAAAAATTATCAAAAAGCTAATGTGCAGGGATATTGCCTTATTTGTCTGTAAAAATGGAGCTCAGTAACATAATTGCTTCTTGGAGCTTTGGAATATTTTATCCTGTATTCTTGTTTGAATTCCTCCTCTATTTAAGATATATACATGGAATCGAAGTGTTTATGTAATAGTTCTACCCTTTGCCTGCAGGTCAGTTGTAATAAATCTAGGCTGTGATGATGACTTTGTAATTTGATTTTCTGAAGTCAGACCCTGAGAGGGGAAAAATCAAGTAAATTCCATTAAATTATCTGTGCATTTCACATTGGGACAAACTCCCTTCTTCTGGAAGTGTTTATGGCTCCTTTTTTTTTTTTTCCCCCTCCTCCCTTCTTGTGGTTGCTCTCTCTCTCTCTCTCTCTCTCTCTCTGCTCACTCTTCTTGAAACCACAGAGGTATTCGTGAAGCACCTGTTGAGTGGGTGTGATGCAGTCTCTTTTTCCAGTTTGCTCCTCTGTTGGTTGCCCTCACCTGCCCTGGCTTTCTCGATGCTAAAGGAAAAGGGTACCGTTCTTCAACCTGTGTCACGGTGGAGGTACACAGCTCGTAAGAACCCAGCCTGCCTCACACTGGTGCCGTCGCTGCTGGGTGAGCACTGGATACCAGCTCAGATTGCGGTCAACCCTACTTTAGAGAGAAGGGTGGGGAGGAGGTTTGTGGGCCAAAGGCCTGTGGAGGTCAGACCTGAGAGGTTTATGGGCGGGAGGATAGATGTTGCTGAGCAGAAAGCCGTGGGAGCCTGGAAAGTGGGGGAGGGAAGAACTTCAAAGCTCCAGCGCTGAATGTATCTGTTACATTAGCACCTCTCGGCTATTGGCCAAATCCTGACTCATTGATCATATGCAGATTCAGCACCTCACTCTTCCCCCGTGCCTGTTTCCTAACCTGATCTGAGATGCAGGAGGTATCGTTCTGGAACCAGCTGTGGTAGGTGAGTATCAAACGTTCTCCAGGGAACGGCCGTAGATAGCCTCCCCAGCTACGCCTTTGCTGCCAGGGGAAAGATACCCCGCGGAGCTTCCAGACCCTAGCCGTGCAAGACAATGTCATGGGAAATAGACTGTGAGCAACCTGCCTCTCCTATATGTGTTCATCTCCTTTGATCCTGACTCTAGCCTTCCAAAGTCAGTTTGTAGTGTCTCAGATAGAAGAGAGGAAAACGAAAGCAAAAACAAGGCTGAGAGAAGCAAACTTGTGGCTCCGGTAGCAGCAGGGAGGGGAGCTGAGATTCAAATCCACGTCTGTGACATGTACTGTAGGAAATGCTACATTAATTAAGAAAACAAAAAACTGTCACCCAAGAAGCATGCCGGAGTTGAGAGGGAGAGGGAACTCCAGCTGGGGTAACTCTGTTCATAAACCTGACCAAGGCCAGCTTCTTTGTCTTGGGGATGAGTTGACCTCAGAGGTTCTGGAGCGGGGTGCTCAGTGGGGCTTAGTGGCCAATACAAAGGCGGCGTCAGGTGTAGCACCCCCGGGATTCAGGACAGAGGCCTTCATATCCCTATCAGCATGATGACATCGTGTGGCAGTCGCTGGTAATGGGGATTTGGCAGGAGAGGAAATTGTGATGGCTTTTAGTTAGTATTAAAGTGCCTTTTCGCTTACTGGTTCCCTCCATGTGTCTTAGCTGCGGGAGGATAGAAACGGGACCCAGAAGGGCTTGGAAGCGTCCTGGAACACTGGCCGCCTTGTCTCGGAGGTCCAGAGGTGACTTCTGTCTCCAGCTTTCAACCAGGGCTGGATGCACCAGTCACATGCATGGCATCTGTACCAATTACTCGGGGTGTGAGGGATGGAGAACCTAAGAACTGTTGGTCTTGAACTTGTCAACTCCTTAAAATGCCTCATGAAGTCGGCTGAGGGAAAATCCAATAGCACGAGCACTCACTTCTTAGGGTGCACTCTTAAGACACGCGCGTGTGATGGAAAGCTGGTGTGAGACTGCGTGCGTAAGGAATACCGTTAGTCTGAACCACCAGCCTCCATGTGTCTTCTGGGAATTTGCTACGGACTAAATTGATGTATTTCTTTCAGATAAACGAGTATCCAGGAAATCTTTCCGATAAACGAATATCCAAGAATTCTCGTCTCAAACCTTGAAATCATTACAAGGTAACGCAACGTCTGCGTTAGCGTTTTTATTTTTGTTTTGTTCTTTTCCTGAGGGTCTGCCAAAGTGTATTCTACTTCTTCGATGTAAAATGTGACTCTGCCATCTGAAATTATCAATCTGTAGAGCATAGTGTGAAGTCACAACTGAGTAAGGATAATGTGTAAGGAATCAGATTTCTATCAGCCTTTGATTTGCTGAAGCACTGAAAAACAGGACTTCTGGTTTTTCCTAGCTTTTCTGCACAGATTCAATGCGAATGCAAGTCTGTGAGGTAGATAGTCCCACACGCCGGGTACCAGTCTTCAAGAACTTGGTAGCTTTTGTAAGGCAGTGCCTGGGCAGAGGCAGACCATCTCTGTCTCTTGATGCTTTGTTGAGAGTCTTCTGGAGAAACCATGTATTTCCTATTCAACAACATGGCTAAAAAAATGTTTTAAGCCAAGATTTGTTACATGCACATGATTCCTTCCTATCTTACGAACTCTACATTGAGTCCAGTCCGTGGAGCCATGGATGAGAACATTTTTTATTTCTTTGGAAAAAATGCCTTCGG